GGGGGGGCTGGAAACAGGGGAGGCAAATTATAATGAGATTAAGCACCAGCTTTAATACTGCTCGCTCTCCTTATAGTGCAGATGATAGAAGCGGACTCATCCGTCATCTTCCTGCCACCTGAACATTCCACGTCCACCCAACTGGCAGCACTGCCAACAGGAAAGGCTTTTCCACAATGGGAGAGCAAGGGGCGGGTGGGGAGGCACGGATCTTCCGTCCAGGGTGGAAATCATATGAATAAATAGCGTCTAGACGTAGATTTATAGGAACACGGAGAACAATGCAGAGGAGAGCTTTCCAGGGTTATTTTTAAAGCATTTAACGAGCGTGCTTGGCTGAAATCCTGCCTATCAGTGCCCAGCTACCGACAGCCCAGCCTCCGAAATCCTGTTTTCACCATCTTCTCCCTTGTTTTCCATCCGTGAGGTCTGAAAAACAGGTTTAGGGGAAGTAAGAAGAAGCCCAAACCAATGATTGGGGGCTTTAAAGGAGAATCCTAATTTTAACCCAGATTCCCTGCACTGATCTTGATGACACATGCTGTCTACCAGCTCCTAAGTTAGCAATAACAGCATCAAACACAGTGCACTGTAGTTGCTGACAGCCTTCCTTCCAGCGCATTTGCCTAAAGCAGGGGTGGGCAACTCCAGCCTTCCGGCTGAGCTTTAACTACAAATCCCAACATGCCTCTGCCTGTAACTGCCTTGCAATGCCTTATGATACTTGCAGTTCTACAACAGCTGGAGGGCCGGAGTTTCCCACCCCTGGCCTAGACTTTCTCATTGGATCCTGGGAAAAGCTGAGGATTCCAAACCCCATGAGAAGTCGCTCCTGCACAGTAACTGATCCGCTTCAGACAAGATTTGGGGACTTGAGCTTTCCTGGGATTCTGGCTCAGGGACAGTGCTGACACCTCCAGGAAGCAGCCGGAACCCGGGGAGATATTTTTTACATTCTTTAAATGTTTTTTCTTTATTGCTTTTACTCAGGTACATATCACAGGCTACATTGTTGCTGTATCATTCATTTTAAATGGCACTCCAATGCACATGACTGTGTAGTAGTGTTGCCATATAAAGTTTTGCTTGCGTAATATATTAATTAGATAATAGAATATATATATTTGACTGCATCTCTCTGCATGCTATGTGACTCTCAGTTCCTCAATTGTGTTACTGTGAATCTGTCTGCTTTAAAGTCCTTGCTATTGTTTTGTTTGCTTATCACATCTCACATGGGGGTGTAAACAGCAACCTTATTTAAATCCTCCAATCAGGTTACGCCCAATGTTCATTTGGTAGGCAGTGTACAGAAAGGAGGATATATAAGGTATTGTTAGCAAGCCATGTGCTCTCTTTTTACCTGGGACACAAAGGCATTCAGTATGAACAGGCGAGAAGCTGATAGGTAAAGCTCCACCACACTTGTACATTGTCTTGTAAATATTGTTGTGTGTGTGTTATTTGTAAATATGTAACCCTACCAATAAATGTGCATTGCTGATGGAACTACTTCTTTTGTCTAAGAATCCTCAGATCTAGGGGTGTTTATGTGAATATTATCGTAGTCATTGGAATATATTTACATATCCATTTCACCTGGGTAACAGTAGCATGTGCATTGTGTTAGGGAAAGAGGTCATGTGCTATTTTAAGCATGTTAGGATACGTTGGCGGCCCATCCATTACGAATAGGCTCCTTTTATGCAACGCATGTTAACACGCCACATAACACACATGTCTTAGTGCACAGCAAGAATGTAAATGGAAACTTCATTTAATATGCGGGAAGGGGGATTGGTATAATATAGGTGGACCTTGCTGTAACTACACGTCTGTGTTATGCACACTCTGGAGCTGGTGTGATCAACATGAGGTCAGGTAATTGGTGCAAAAGGAATCGAGAGAAAAAAATAATTAAAACCACCAAATACAGAGAAAGATATTTATTGTAATGTGATAATGTAACTCTGTGCTGAGTTCTTGGGCCTGCACACCTGCTGCTTCCATTTTGAGGAGTACCCACCATCTTTACATTGAGTTCCTGGGTCTGTACATACTGCTGTGCCCATTATGAGGAGCGCCCACCATCCCTGTGCTGAGTTCCTTGGTCTGTACATCCGCTGTGGCCATTATGAGGAGCTCCCACCTTCCCTGTGCTGAGTTGCTGGGTCTGTACACCTGCTGTGCCCATTATGAGGGGCTTCCACCATCCCTGTGCTGAGTTCCCGGGTCTGCACACCTGCTATGCCCATTATGAGGAGCGCCCACCATCCCTTGTGCTGAGTTCCTGGGTCTGTACATCCGCTGTGCCCATTATGAGGAGCGCCCACCATCCCTGTGCTGAGTTCCTTGGTCTGTACATCCGCTGTGGCCATTATGAGGAGCTCCCACCTTCCCTGTGCTGAGTTGCTGGGTCTGTACACCTGCTGTGCCCATTATGAAGGGTTCCCACCATCCCTGTGCTGAGTTCCCGGGTCAGTACACCTGCTGTGCCCATTGGGAGGGGTTCCTGGGGTATTCCAAGCATCACTGCTGGAGTTTGATTATTCTCTATATGATGGACAATGTAGCAGGAGGAGCTAGGGCAAAGGTGGGCAAAAGTAGCCAAAACTTCCAGGTAGACAGGAACAGCGTTGGGAACCATAGCAGGGAGATCTCACTGTTGGAGTATCCAAGTCCTACAAGAAGCCAGGGACTGGCTCAGCTCTCTAGTTTTCATCTATAACTAAAAAATCACTTATCAGGGTGAACTGACCTTATAACTTATGTAAACCAGCTTGCTGGTAGCGGCAGCATTCCTTCAATGAGATTAATAGGACATCTGATATCAAAGCTTTGATTGGTTGTGGGCATCTTACCATCTCTAAGCCTTGCTCATATATCCGGGTTGTTACAATGTGTACTGTGCCTTTAACATGAAACCATTTGTATCTAAAGTCTGTATGTTATAATGACGCGTGGTAGCGTGTATGTGACCCTGCGCCTCTCACTGTGACCTCTTCTTCCTTTCAGGGCGCTGGAGATAGTTTTATTGGGGCGCTGGCCTTCTACCTCGCCCATTGTCCTCATCTCAGCATGGAAGAAATGGTAAAGAGGTCAAACCACATTGCGTCAGTGAGCGTCCAGTCGGCAGGAACGCAGACATCCTATCCGTACAGGAAGAACCTTCCTCAGGATATCTTCTCTTAGAGGAAACCGGCCCGCTGTCTCTCCTCCATGCTGACTTATATTACGGTGACCTGAAACGACCCCGTCATTAGATAACGCGGGGCTTTGTCCTAACAAAACGCTCACTTACAGGCCTGGGAATATTTCATCTGACACGCGGGTCCGTTCACAAAACACCAGGATAAGGATCCTTATGTTCCATAAAGTGAGTTATATTCAGCCGAGTCCAATAAGATGTGATAATCAAGGGAAAATAAAGCTTCATGAATTGCACGTAGGATGTTGTGTCTTTTGGTGGATTGCAGGTGGCTTAGGCTTTTATAAGGACCAGTTATATAATGAAAGGTTTGTAGATACAAAGTCCAAATCCCATTCGCACTGCCACGGTCTCAAAACCACAAGGTATATGTGGTGCCCAGGTGACCACGCAGATGGCGCCGTGCAAAACACTAATAGTAAATAAAAGTCATTCACCGGCACACACTTGAAGAGTTTTTAAAGTATTGATATGTTTATTCAATACCCAATGTCACATACTGTCATACGGTGCTAACGTTTCGGGTTTGCACAGGAATCCTTCATCAGAGCGACAGATACCTGACCATCACACCTGTATGAGCTTGTATGCTTGTTGGACATCACATTCTAAAACCATGCCCATTGACTGCATCACAATCTGTGTTCTAATTCATCCCAGGGGTGTTCTGTAGGGTTGCGGTCGGGGCTCTGTGCGGGACACTAGAGTTCCTCCACCCCAAACTCATCCAGCCACTTCTTTCTGGAGCTGGCTTTGTATGCACGGGCACAGTCATGCTGGAACAGAAAAGGGCCTTCACCAAACTGTTAGCACAAGGTAAGAAGCCCACAACTGTCTAAAATATTCATGAATGCTGTAGTAGTAGCAGCGCCCTTCACTGCACACACAAAAACAATTATTGGAAGTCCAATAGTGATAGGTGTCCACAAACCATTGGCCATATGGTGTTCCTTGTCCACCATACCTAAAGATAATTTCCTGGCTGTCATGCCAATCCTCTGACTTCACTATGAGTTACTGCCCTGGAGGAACTGTGCAGCTGGTGGAGTTGGAATGACTCAGTAAAGCTGATCATACACCTACAGATGATCTGCAGATTGTCAGATGGAAAACGTGCAACAGAATCCTCCATCTACACTAAACTGTGTGGATGGAGGAGTCTCCCACTGGGGCCAAGCTTCACTATCTAACTAGTCGGCCCCGCTGGCTCTCAAAACACTTGAACAATGCCGGCATCCAATCAGATTGTTCAGGTATTTTAACAGCCAGCAGGTCCGACTAGTAAGATACTGAAGCTTGGCTCAGCGGGAGATTCCTCCATCCACACAGCTTAGCGTAGACGGAGGAATCTGTTGCACCTTTTCCATCTGACCATAGAAAGTCTGCAGATCATCTATAGGTGTATGGCCAGCTTAAGGTTGCATTCTCATGGAGCATTGATCTGTGTTCTGGAATTACTATAGCAGGAACCTAAAGATTCCTGCAGTAGGAATCTACGATGTCCCTGTTCAGATGCATCCACTGTACCCATTCAAGCTAAAGTAACACTAAACTCAGGAGTTAAATCTGAAAAATGCATTTTAGTAGCCTGTTAACAAACATTCTGGAGGGGGGCTACTTGTTCCCCATGGTCCCTGTGTGTGTTGTAAAGTAGTCACCACTCCAAGCTCACTCCCAGGATGGACTACAGTCTTAATACAAATTAGTAAAGTAAACATGAGATTGTAGTCCATCACAGGAGTAAGCTTGGAGCGGTGACTACTTTACAACACACACAGGGACCATGTGGAACAAAAGTAGCCACCCTCCAGAAGGAAGGACAGTGTCAGCGCCAATTCAGAGATAATTGGAGGATCTACAGCCGAGTGACACAGCTATTAACCTTCACCATTAACATACATGTATGTTAATAGTGAAGGTACCTGAATGTATTTTCAGGATTTAACTCCTGAGTTTAGTGTCACTATAATGACAGGGTGACAGTGGACGCATCTATCCAGGGATCATTCTGAAGCGCAGGTGTCAATGTGATCTAAGGGGGGGAAAAAGGAAACCAGGAATGGAAGTTTAGATTTTTTGCAGATACCCTTTGACCACTTTCAAGGGGGCTATAGAGACAACCTTTAGGAATTACAAGGCACTGCTCAGTATCAATATACAAATATTGCCTGTGTCAGTTGTGTACATCTACAATCCATCATGCCCTATATCTTATATACACACTCACAAGAATTCTTCAGCTGCTGGTGGGTCCGCATCTCTCGTGTATATTTAGGAAGGAATGGGGTGACCTCCGGGTAAGCTCCGTTCTTGCATTGCTTATTATGTCCCAGTTTTGGTATATATAAAGTAGCACCATTATTTAAAGCAGACCTCTGGGCATCAAAGAATACAGTTCCCCCCAGTGTCAGATTGACTGCGTCTGAGTTTACAGCTGCTCCAAAGTAGAACTCCAGACGACCTTTAGTTGTGGATTGAGTGAGGAAAGATTAGAGCCTCTCTCAGGTTTCTACTGCTGTCTGTGATTAGGGAGATTTCCCTTCACTTCCTGTCCTGCCATTAGCATGGTGACAGTAGCAGGAAGTTGGGTGTGTATCTTGCCAACAGGAACTCAGCAGGATTCAAAGAACACTTTTTTTTCATTGGTTAGAGAAGGGTTAGACACTGCATGATGTCCCCTGTATGGGCCTTTAGAGGAATGTGACCATGATCATGTGATCGCTGTAGCATCCAATGATCACATGACTGGGAAGTAATGCCTCTGGCTCCTACCACATGCAAAGGGTTAATTGCAATGTAATATCAGAGGGTGCACAGCGGAATTATTTAGAGCTGATCTCCAGGCAAACGGATGAAATACAAATATGTTGGATCCTGACCCCGTTCTGTATCTACGTGTAGACTATCCCCAGGGGAGACATTTCCGCAGACAATGAGAAAAATCATTTTATTGGTAAAAAAATCATTCCAAGAAGTGCGGCAGCCAACATAAATAAGGTGAGCGGCTTGGGAGGGAAGTCTGCCCTGCGTAGACTCGTTCAGTTCATCGGACACAGCAGTAACAATGTGAGATCAGCTGATGGCGGCACAGATAGACTGGCCGTCTGCCCTCTCCATTGTTCCAACAGTCCGGGGTCCGCTATCCACAAGATACCAGCGCCATCCCCTCCCCCTCCACCATAGACAGCGCCCGTGTAATCTGAGTAAGTCCCGGTATCATATGGTTCGGATTTTTTTCTTCTCCGTGAACAGAACGTGCTGCCTCACTGAAACAAATGAAGTCCACAAATTAGGCTGCATACAAATGGGTACGAGTTCAGTATTATTATAGGTATCTATATGCAGCACCGTCACATCAGTCCCCGCCCCCAAGGAGCTTACAATCTAAGGTCCCTGTCCCCCATCCACACATACAGGGCCAATGCAGACAGGAGCCGATTAACCTTCCAGCATGTCTCTGGAGTGCGAGAAAAAATCCGCACAAGGGGAGCATGCAAACTCCATCCAGATAGTGTCCTGACCGGGATTTGAATAGATGTGATGATATCAGCGGTCCTTAGACGGTCGGAGTCCAGGGGAGAAGAGGCTGTGGGGACCGGTCTAGCAGCCCAGAGGAGGCCGGGATCAGGTGATCTTTATTCCAGCCCCTAGACCAAAGTGAGCACTTTACCCTTGCAGTGCGAGTACAGACCCACGGCAAGGGTACGTTTAGGTGGGTTTTTTTGCCCGGAGCCCTTAGCGTCCTCGCTAATGCAGCCAATGGGCCACCTGCATAAGATGTGATGACATCAGCAGTCCATATACCGTCGGAGCCCGGGGGAGAAGAGGCTGTGGTGACCGGTCTAGCAGCCCAGAGGAGGCCGGGATCAGATGAGTATATACTTCATTCCCTCGACCAAAGTGAGCACTTTAACCCTTGCAGTGTGAGGACAGACCCACGCCAAGGGTAACGGTTTTTATTTGCCTGGAGCTCTTAATTGCCTCCGGGCCGGCCGTAGTAAAAAAACGGTCGTCCCGGAGCTCTCTAGATCTGAGCGGGCGTCTTCAGACGTCCGCTCAGACATGCCCCCTAGCCCGCGCTGATTGGCGTTAGCGAGCGGAAAATGGCCGCAATTTAAAAACAGGCAACGGTGCCTGTTAACATACAAGCGATCCGCCGCTTGTATTTTGCAACTATCGGTGC